CTCAAGAAAATATTTAATATCAGCAATTTGTTTTGGCTAGAAAAAACAAATTGGAAATATTATTTTCGTTAATAATTATATAATATTAAATCATTACTCCATTACTATTACTTACCATCTTTGAGACTTATTATTATTATCAAAAAAAAAATTTTTAAGATTTTAATTTTTTAAATTGAATCGATTACACAAAATTGTAATCTAGAATATTCTTGTGAAATGGTAAATTTGTAAAATGTTATTTGATCGACAAACACGTGCACATTAATATTTTTTCTTGTTGACACGATTGATTATTTTGACAAGATGACAAAACGCGGCTCTCCTAAAGATGTGTTAATAACTAACCAGAGGTACTTTTTTTTAATTTGCATTAACTTTTTTGGTTGTTATAAATATTATAATTGGAATCAAAACGTGGAGCAGATCATTGCTGGGTAATAAGATTCTCATCAAGATGATAAATGAACAATTGGTATTTTGCTTTGTATAATCATATTATTATTAATATAAATATATAATTACAAGATGTCAAAGCAGCACAACTGAAACAATTCGAGTATGATTATCGGAAATTGACAGACGTTGAAGCACACATGCTACTTGAACACTTACAGTCATTCTTATGCTCCTTGTGCACACAAGGCTAATCTGACCAGCTTCGCCCTATGGATACAATGATGCAACTGAATTCCAGGGGGAAGCACATATCCCTGGAGTTTACTGAGACTGCAAGGACACTTTTCACTAATCTTCCCTCACAGCACCCAGACCAGAGAAGGCTGTTGGCATGCTAGCTGAAAAGTTGCCTGCAACGATCCTACCTCTAGGGTAAGGCTGGCTCTGTGATTGAGAAACTTTGAAAAGTTGTGATATTAGGTGCACATAAACATCCAGATCCATCAAAGAAATGAGAATCTGCAACTTGTTTCAAACACAGGAGGTTGCAATTCAGAGTGGGATTGGTGGCCCTGAAATTGCATTTGGGCTTTGATGTTAGGAAAGCTGTAAAATAAAATGATTTGGATTTTGTTTGGTATGTTATAAATTAATCATTTCCAAATTTTTATTTTTATTTACCAACTGAATTTGATATTTTTTAAATGGGGCTTTTGCCTATATAATCCACCTAGGTTAGAGGAATGTAGCTCAATGAGAACATGTATCTTACAAGTATAAAGGTGGCAGTTCAATTCTGCGCACTCCTGTTGTGATAGTCACCATGATTGCTGGCATCAAGGAGAAAGTTGTAAAATAAAATAGTTCAGATTTTGTTTGGTATGTTATAAATTAATAATTTTCTGTTTCTCTTTAATTTTTATTTGACCAACTGAACTTATTATTTAAATAAATGGGGCAGGGTTGTTGGTGAGTAGGCATGCACCAACAAGACAGCAACCCAGGACTCAACTCTGAATTCAGGGAAAATCCAAAACAACAACTTCCCAGGTTACAACCTCCTGGGTTGGAGAATTTTGAACCAGTTGCAGGCACAAACTTTTTTCTACAGGTCAGGATAATGCAAAGCAATCATCATGCAAGCACCAGCTATCAGTGATCAATGTCCATATGGTAACCAGCAAGCCTGGTCTGAGAGGAAGATAAAGTTCTCATACAAATGATAATGTTTATTTTACAACATAGGAAGCAATAATAAATAAATCAAATTCATACACAATAAGTATTTATTATAGTTTGAAAAAGCAAGTTTTACATGTCAATATAAATGAGGAATGAAAAGAAATAAAGTTATGTTTGATAAAAGAGTTAAATAATAATAATACACACCCCTAATATTAATTTTCTTTCAATTTTAAATTATTTATTTAATAATTAATTTTAATAACAAATGATTTCAATCATCAATTTTTTCTTGAAATTTATTTTTCTTTTTTGAGAAATCTAATTCTTCCCATTCCCAAAGTGTAATTCTCATGCCAATACTAGGAGGCTAAATACCATAGCCATCTTTTAACAACATCTTTATTTGCATCCTTTACTTCTAACAATCTTTTATGGGTTTTATGTTCAAAGTTTTCTTGATTTTTTATGGATAAAAGAACTACGCAGTACAGTCCAATGAGTTGTTTGAGTGGGTAGATAGACAGGACCTGAGCATAACATTTTTAATGCATGAGCTGCACGTCTTGCAAAATCTATAAAAAAATCCATTGGACCTACTACATAGGTGTGTAAGTGCAATTGACAAACAGCTATATTGTCTGTAGGTGGAAGTTTTTCAGGTTCTAATATTGATTTTTTTTTTTTTGATAAAGTGTAAGAGAAAAAAATCCAATAATAATAATAATAATAATAATTTATTATCCATTAACATATTTACCATAAAGCATTGGATCTGGTTGTTTTTCATTATTTTCATTGTTATTGTTATTTTCACTATGATTATTTTGCAAATTTATTGATGTTGTCCAAAGATTATTTCTAATGAATTGTAAATTGATATATTATTTATTAATATCTTCCATAAATTATAATCCTTGTATATAAACAAATGAATGAATGAAGGTATGTAAATCAATAAATACACATTTCTATATGGAAATGACAATTTAGTAATTATTGGAAGCATTTGATATTTCAATAGATTTGTCATTTCCTATTTTATTTTTTATAAAAAAAAATTTTTTGATCTACAAATGGGACAGTCTCCAGCAAAAACCACCTCCGAAAAATTCCGAAGAATCCTGACGGGGCTTTTCGGAGCTTTATTTTCCCAAGAATATTGTGGTTAACTTTTTCATACTTCCAAATTTAATACCTTATAACATGTTGAACTTTTTTTTACTAACACGCAGTATGCTGTTAATTTGATGCTCTTCAGAAAATGAAGTTCCGAAAAGTTCCATCAGGATTCTTCGGAATTTTTCGGAGGTGGTTTTTGCTGGAGACTGTCCCAAATAATTTTTTTTAAACCAATTTGTCAAGTGTTAAAGAAAACCAAACATACATCGGAAAAAGAGCAAATGAGTAAATGTTGTCAGAAGAGGGAAATTTAAAAATAATGTGGTTGCGATCATCGTCATCCTTCTAGTTAAATAAATATAACAAAAAATGTCCAATACTTTAAAATCTTAAATCTTTTAGAAAGTAATTTTTCATAAATCTACCACTTCAGATCATCATAAAAGTGTAGTGGCGACAGTGATGGTAGTGATATTGAAAGAATAACAACAGTAGAATGACTCTATATGAAGAATAGAATATAATGATAACACTAGAATCAACAACACAGCTGTGTTTTAAAATGGAAGGATATGATTTTATTTTTAATTTATATTTATATATTTTCTAAGGCAAATCTGTACCTTACATTAAGACATACTGGTTTAATTAAACAATAGACCAGCACAAACTTTGCCTATTACACAAAGTCATCATGTGGAAAAAATGTCTTCAGTTTGACCAAAACAAATAAATCAGAATGGATGAAACAAAATTAGTGTATATCTCATTAAAACTAGAGAAATTAGCTCAACTCAAGTGAATACTGACTTTATCATCTTGAAATAATTATAGTGTCAATATGGGGGATCTATGTTATTTCTATTGAGTGATAAACATATGTTCCATATTAAATTTTCTTGGAGAAAAGAGAAGCCAAACACAAGTGCTGTCAGAGCAATTTTTCCAAACCAATTAGTTCAAGCCCTAGTTGGAAAAGTAAAACAGGAAAATTAGAATTGAAAGACAAATCAGAGAGGATCTTGAAGCTATTTTATCTAATACTAATATCATCACTTTTAATGTATTGGTAATATGATGTTTCATGTAAGGTAATTTTGATATTATGATGTGTTAAACACTTTTTTATATGTAATAAATTGATAAACATTCAAAAATACAATTTTTCATATATCTAAGACCTATTATCAAAGGAGCAAGTAATTAATTTCAAACCTGAAAGAATACATTTCATACATAGCCATAGTTACTTCTATTACTTCTACATGCTATCAAAATGTTTGCCAACACAAATGAAATTGTAAAAAAACATGAATTAACTCATCAGATGGATCCATCTCAACTGAATGCCTATGCTAATGAATTCTGCAATAAAATTCATGACTGGCATGTTTGTAAAAATGCAAGAGCCCATCTTGAGATCTCAGGTTCAACACAGAACAAATATTAGCACTCTTGCCAGATCAAAGGAAACATAATAAGCCAGCTACTGTGAGAAATAAAGTTCAAGAAATTATGGAATCCCCTGATCCTGTTATGGATTCATTTATTCCAAATTTTTTGGGTAATAGTGCAACATTAAAGAATATTGTTACAATTGATCATGACTTAAACGCCTTTGGCATGAACTACATAAAAAGGTTATAATGATTTTACCAAATTTATAACCTATTTATTAATTTTAAATCTTGATTTTTAGAATTTGACTGGGTTGTTATCACAGTTTGATGTCACTACAATTGAACTTTCTACACAAACGTATCCAACAATAGCTTATGCAAGAGTAGTACTTTTAGGTTTACTTGTTAATTGTTAATCTGAATCAAAATTGAAATTGTACATATCCCCTTAATGAGGTTCTTGTGGCAATTCGTAGTAAGATCCAAGAATATTGGAATCAAATTAATACAATGACTCATGTTTTGACCCAAGATATAAATCTATTGCATGCCAAGGCTTATCAACTAATGAAATTCTTGATCCAGTTTCAACTTTTGATTCAACAACTAATAATAATCAAAGATCTATATTTGTGCAATGTTTGTCAGCAATATCTCAACAAAGAAGTGCAAATACTGATGAATTCATAAAATATTGGGAGTCAATTGATGCTAGTTTTGATATAGAACCATTATCTTGGTGGTGTGATCATTCAACCAAATATCCCATTTTATCAAAGATTATTTGTCAGTACAAGCATCTTCTGTACCCTGTGAACAATTATTCTCTTTGACTGGTAATGTAGTAAGCAAAAAAAGAAATAAATTGAGTGAAAGTACAACTAGAGCATGTTTGTGTTTAAGAAATCATTTCTCACATCTTGGAAGAGTGCCATTATCACATTCCACTTTACAATCTTTACAAATAAAAGATATATCAAAGTATTGCTCTGTCTCAGTATGTGCTATCATCTGATGAGTGGCAGGGGCAGTATCAAAATTTAGATTTGTTGGATCATCATAATCTACAAGCAATAATGACATTCTTGTTCATCCCCTTTTGCTAACTCTAAAGTTCTATATTCTAATCTCATTCTACTTATTCGGTTGTAAGATATGAGCCTTGAACTTTTCCAAAACATGAGTTTGAAACTTCTCCTTGCTCTTTTCTTTAACTTTGTTTACTAACTTTTTGAATTTTAATAGTCTGCTTTGCTTTTGCTTTTTAAGTAAGGCTGGTAATTTTCTATCCTTGTATTTTTTAATAATTTGCTCTTTGTTTTTTAATCAATCAATATTGTTTTCTAGAACTTCTATTTTTCTTTTCCTCTAGCATCATGTTTTGCAACTATTTCAGCTGTTTGTCATTTTTTTCATTCCTCAGATTTTTGGTGAAACTTCATTACCTCTTCTTGCTCTATTTCCACTCTTTCCTCCATCTCTTCCACTTGTGCTTCTAACTCATTTTGTTTGGCTTCCAAAACCTTAATCCTTTCATCCTTGCCTCCAATGATCTCTTTTAGAATTATGTCATTAGCAGGTCTACCAAAAATTTCTTTTCCTTCTTTTATTCAAGCAAAAATAAAGGCTCTTTCATTTCATTTCTTTCAGTACTTTAATAATTCAGTAGCTAACTCAGTGCTTTCAAAGTGGTCTATAATAATTCTTTCTACAACTTTTTCTTTTTCTTCTCATCTATAATCATTATAAAGACTATATTGATAACAAAGGAGCATAAATTGTTGCCTTAATGGTTTACTAATCAATTCTCTTAAATCCTGTTCAATATTCTTACTGCAGTGAGGAAATCTGTTCTTCATTTCTACTAGTATTTGGACAATCTTTGCTAATGCTTCTTGCCTGAATGTTTCTTCTTCTTCACTTACTTTTCTGAAATCTTTTAATTGTCCAATTTCTTGGTCTTTATCTGCTAATTGCTTCTTTAAATTTTCATTTTCTTCTAATAGTTCTTTATTTACTTTTTTTTGTGCTTCTATGATGTTTGTCATGGTTTTACCTTTATTATTATTATTATTATTATTATTATCCTTTAATATACTTATATCCTTTTTATGAGGGCATATTAAGTATATAAATTATTTTAGTACTTTTTTACTTTAAAACTAA